TTTGGAGGCCTTTGCTCTAGTGTGGCTCATATATATTTGATGCTCGCTTGTACTAATATTTATGTGTTCAAATAAATAAAATATGATGATCAGTTGCAGTCTTGAACATTAATGACAAGATAAAAGCAAACAATACCAAGTGAATTTAAACTTCATTAGATAACAAAAGCAAGTGACTATCAGGACTCAGTAGGCAAGTGGATAATGTGATGGCGTTTAAAGCGAACGGTTTTGAGTTCGAGTCCCGGGGTGAACATTAACTCTGGGATACAGGTACATCCAGCTGACGAGTCCTGAACAAGGACAAAACGTGTGTCCTGCATTCCACTGCTAGCCACTATCAATGTTTAAATAGTTTTAATTATCTTGTCAACTTCTGAAATTGTTTTGACGATGCAAATATACCAGGAATGTTGTAGATTTTATAAGTATTTTATTATGTAATTAGATTTCTATATTCTCTTCATTGAAAGCTTCTAATAGATTTCTTTACTATGGCTAGTTAATTATTCACCTTTTCCTTCTATTTTGTTCTACTTATGTTGATGTACAATCAGGAAATTTATCCAAATTATTGTATTGTGGTGCGTGCTACTTATATTGACACAAGTAGTATATAACGCAAGTCAAGAATGTAATGTTTGGCAGTAGAAGATTGGGAAAATCAAGAAAGAAAGGGAATAGAAAGCAATTAGTATAGAAATGCAAGAACAATGAAGTTCGAGACAATTATTGAACATTTTGCAAATTAAGTATTATAGTATGGTTTTTCTATTTTACCAAGTAATTCTGTAATGCTTTACTGGATGTAATTCGGTTGTCCTCACCTGTGTTCTCCTTCACTACAGTATGAATCGATTCACATAAGATTGATTTACTAACTTCTGTGTTCTATTATTGGGCCAAAGACTGGCCCGAAAGAAGGGGAGATATTCTGGACCAACAGGAGTGGGAATTACTCTTGGATCTAAGTTTAACCTTGGCAGTCAAAGCTTATAATTGGTCGTGTTTTTTTTAATCACTTCATATGACCTAAACAGCTATACGATCTAGTTATGACCATTTAGTTCTATCTATTTCAGCTCTATAATGTTTTGTTTGATCTGACTGCCCATTAGTCCCGGTTATAATCTGCGGATCATCTTGGATCTTTGGTGAACTACAAAAATGCAGGTACACAAATAATGATAACGTTACTTAAAAGGAACGTAAGTAAAATAAGTTAATGATATGAAAAGCAAGTATAACGATGGTTATACCAAGAAATACTTGGTAATGGCAAGTAGTTCCGAGTTCACAAGGCTCAGGGATAATTCCACAATAATTATATGACAATATTAGATGTAAATTATTACATATGTTTAGATGTTAAGATATATTATTAGCCAGAATAATGTTCTCAACATGCTCTCATATGGCCACGCGTATATATCTTCTCCCAGGGAAGTCCTACTCATTGCCTCCTTGCACCACGGCTGTTCTTTACGAAATTGAGAAGACGAAAAGCGAGACTCCGGCTCTTTAACCGGGACATGGAAAGTCAACTTAGGGGAGTTGGAAAACCCTGATTACAAACCGATGGTGTATATGGGCTCCAGGATCCTGAGGGAACAAATGGTCTATGGACCTATTGTTGGTCACTGTAAGACTGCTCCACTATCTTGTGGATTAGACCTCCAGGTCAAAGGCTTGAGGTGTGGTTCACTAAGAAAACCATGTGCTTCGGTTTGGGTGCCCGAACAGTATTCCAACCCTCACACAAATCGAATGGTTTATGCGACGCATATGTATTTAGTGCCTCTTTGTACTCATGTTAATATGTTTAAATAAATTACTTAATTGATTGAAGGTAGACCACCATTGAAAACCTAGAAGTACTGGACGACCGTCCCGTCCTAGTGTGGGACTCCTCAGCAGTGCGCATCCACGACCCCGCACCACGCGGGGCTCGAACCCAGGACCTAATGGCTTCGCGCGCGAGCACTTAACCACTAGACCACTGAGCCGGCATCCAACGGTGTTAATGTCTAACTTCAACCAATCCACGAAGTTGCGCCACCGTACACCATTGTCTTCAGTAAGTTACTATCTCAAAACAGACCTGGTTGAACTCCACTGGTAACGGCTTCTCACTAGAACTCCAGGAATTTTTCCTGAAGTCAGTCACTAGTGAGCACTTGATTATTATCAGAATGGGTTTTGTGGAGAGTTTTAGAAATTTCACAGCATCATATTATTAGATTGTAGTTTTCAATTTTATATCTAACTTAAAAACGATTGCCAATACTACTTAAAATAACTAATTATTGTATCCCAATTTGGATGTAGGTATTTTGTTACCAGGAGAGAAAAAAACCAAAAAAAAAGATATTTCTTCAAGGTCAATGATTATTTACAAATTGTATTATCATGAAATTAAAGTTCATTTACTGATCTGTTTTAAGTCAAAGGAGATTAGTTGAAGCAACAACAAAAAAACAAAAATAAAACGCCTGTTTTCAACAGTGTCTAACACCCTTTTCTCCTCCCCTCCCACCACTTTTACATTAAAGAACACTATGTGAAACAAATCACCTGTTTTGAATAATATCTAACACCCCCCTCTCTCTTCCAACAGTTTTACACTAAACAACACTATATGAGAAAAAAAAATGATGATGATGATCTACAATCACTACTCTATTTAATCATGAGTGGGTGTCTTATTATGAGAAACCAAAACAACAACAACAATTCTATACAAAACAATTTTGGCCATAAATAAATAATAGAAGTGTACTTTTACTTGTAACTATTGCAAAGTAAATATAATACGTTATTACGTAATTATTAATACGTTCATTCATTAAGAAGATGAAAAGCGAATGTCGAACGCATTAACCGGGTTAATGGATACGGAGAGGCCACCTAGGGCAGTTGGAAAACCCTGATTAAAAACCAATGCTGCACATGGGATCCAGTATCCTGAAGGAATAAATGAAGTATGAACCAATTGTTGGCCATCGGTTACCATGGGATTGCATCTCCTGACGTTGCTACACTGCTTTGTGGATCAGACCTTTAGGTCAAGGGCTTGGAGTGTGACCTCCTGAGAAGATCACCTGGTTCGGTTTGGGCACCTGGGCAGTATCCTAGCCCTTACACAAATCGAATAGAGTGTGGCACATATGTATTTGGTGCCTCCTTGTACTAATGTTTATATATTTAAATAAATAAATAATACTAGTTTCATCATGAGAGTTTGATAGTGATGTGAACAAAGAAACATAGAAATCATGATAAACAATGGAAATTACTTCATTAACATTCATTTATGTCCTTAGCTTAATCTACAAATCATAAGCTTTCATTTGATGTATATTTCACTGCTATAATTTTTGTTGCCCAAATGCTATTGTAATTTAAACGTAACCTTTTGTACTTTGTTCATTGCTTGTACGTTATGGTCGTGTTGTTCATCTATTTACACTAATCTCAATCAGGAATAAATCGAGTAGTGTTCCAGTTGACTTGTTTTCTCTTTCGTCTGCGCTCTTGTCAATCAATCAGGTGATAGAATAGTTTTCATCTGTTTACCTAAGGTAGTTACTCTCACTTCAAACTCACATGTTTCTAGCCTCAAAGATGAACTAGCTAGCTTATTGTTTCAATGCCTTAATCGAGATTGAGACAAGTTATCTTCTGTATATTAGAGGGTAGATAGATCATGGACGTAATAGATAGTATTATTAGACTCGAACAAGTATAATTTCATGACAACTATGTAAACCTTAATGTAACTTTGAACAGATCTGTGTACTCAATTTTGAGTTATAACTTGTTGATATGAATGGTAGTGGTTATATGCAGTTCATCAATTGAAACCTTACGTATGTTGGGTCAGGGTTTAAATCTACAATTGAATAGTTAAAAATCATGTTACAGTCGACATATTTGGATTTCTTTTTTTTTCTAAATAAAAGAAACATCACTGAAGATAGTTAACTATGAGAAATAATCTTCTGCTTTTATACCTTGAAATGACTTCAAGGACTGATGACACGTTTTGGTTTGACCGGCCCTAACTTTCTTCTAACTATCTCCAATACTAGTCAGAGTTTCGCGTCGTGGTAATCAGTGTTCAAGCATAATAAGTCTTTGATAATCTATTTTTCATAGAAGAAATTGGTGTTCTAAGAGAAGTTTTTAATGGTAATGATATGATGAAATCTTAATTGTTAAGATTAATGAATTGAATAGTAATTGATGAAAGACCACACAATGACTAAATGATGAATATTCACGAGACTGTATTTTTAATGTATAGTCATACAATAGAATAAGTGGAAGTCGAAGACAAGATCACTTGACAGATGAATAGAATCTTTTATATAAGAAAATAATAGGTTTATTTAATAGAATATGAATATACAATGAACATGATGATATTGTCATAGGTGGTTAAAAAAAATCAGATCATATTCTCCAGTATAAATTAGGATTCCATTTGAAGCACAGTTAGATGGTAGCTAATAGAAGAATCTAGGACGCGCGTTTCGGCCTATTTGGAACTCGTCATCTGGATGCACCTGAATCTTAGAATTAATATTCACTCTGAGACTCAAGGCAATATCAAGGTAATCCACTCAGGATGCATAGATATGTCAAAAGAAACTGATCAATCGCAGTCCTAAACTTCAATTACTTATATGGATTTCGAAGCGAAAGGTACTGGATTTGAGTTCAGGAGTGAATATAAACTTTGGAATGCAGGGATATCCATTTGACAAGTTCCAAATACGACGAAAGACAAGCATCCTTGATTCTACTGCTAGCCTTCATCTATTTCTCTTTAAAACTCTTGTGACTTACTGGCAATATTGAGACAATCCACACAGGATACACATATGCCAATAAGAGATTGATCCATTGAAATTCTAAACATCAATGAAAAGATACAAACAACCAATACAAAAACAAATTTCTTTCTGTTAGAATAATGAAAACCAGGACTGGAATGTTTACTTCTTACTTTTATGTTTATGTTTATGTTTAGAATGTTTTTTGTGTTTTTTCAACTTTTTATGCACCGGAGAAACAACATCATTATCATGATGAAAACTTTTGTTCATCTCTGAACTAGAAGTCCAATGTTTAGATGATGATGATAATGATGGTGATGATGATGGTGATAATGCTGAAGATGAATGTCTTCTATCATTCCATTTGGATGATTGATGATGTGTATGCTTTAAAGTTGATTTGGATGTATTTCTATAAGTTTCTTTGTATCGTCGAGTTGTTGATGATGACGATGGAGAATTCGAAGGAGAATAGTGTTGTGTTCGTGAAGTATCCGGTGTTTTATATTTATGTGAATAGTGACTTCTTTTATGAACATTTTCAGTTTGATTTGAAAGTGATTCTACACTACTACAATCAAGAAAATTATGAGGAAAAAAGGATAAACTGTAAAGGAAGTTTGTATAAGAAAATAAACTCAGATTCAATCATTCTCACAAACACTCTGTACTAACTAGTAATGATTGTACAATCACCACCAGAAACCAATTTTAAATGGTACTTTTTAAAGCTCTAACGAGAAGTTATGACTAGTGAAAAGTTCAACAATATTAAGTATGGCGCAATTACTAACTCTAATAGTTGTGAATTATCAGGAATTAAAGTTAGATATATATAAACTACTGAATACTTGATAAGTCTTGCGGATTGAACGCTATGTTTGTTTCCTAAACTATTCTGTAACCCCTAAGCTAGAACTATACAGCGATCTGAACACAAGAGAGAAGACGCAAAGTATGCGAGAAATACTTTACTCCAAGGTTCATTTTTGTACAGAAAAACACGGGTATTTATAGATATTAACATTTATTAGATCAACACCATATTTTGGTCAATCTGCTAAAAGGTATATTATGCTACTGACCAATTGTAGCACGCCACGTTGACATTCTAGAAAGCACCATCATGCTCTGATTGGCTAGGACTCTTCGGCTCCTTTAGGGCCTCTGGAGGCTTCGTTGCAGTTCTCGGAAAGCCGACTCAACAATACTAGCTCAATCGTTTAAAGATCTGAAAGCCTTAAGTTCTATTCACAGTGAGGTTATTGGTGCATTTTTGAGGAATACCATAATAAAACAAAACAGTTTTATACATTGTCTTTTGGTTTTTAATGGTTGTCTAACCAAGATCATTTAGTGATATAAACTATTGTGTTCTGTCTCATATATATTCAAAAAAAGGTACGTATTCGAGTCTTTTAAGCCAAAGACGTAAATGTATTATCAACTCTGCGATCCCAAATAGGACGAAACGCGTGTCAAACTGGATTCCACTGCTAGCCACTATCCATCTTTGCTTAAAAAGCTTGTGACTTCAGGCAATATCCAAGCAGTCCGCACAGGATGCACATATGTCAATAAGAGACTGATCAATTGTAATCCTAAGCATCAATGGGAAGATACAACAAGTAAAACAACACCAAATGAACGTATTATTAACGCCTAATGTTTTTAGTGACAAACATATTACTATCATATATATTCTTATTGTATAATTATTAGTATTATATCCTAACGAAGAATAAATGAGTGATAACTGTTAGGAATTATTTATGGACTGTTATTAGATATTTCTCGTCTACTCACAATCAATTTTGGCTTGTTCTTGTATGATTTTCATTTTTCATTTTATATTGTGATGAGATCTGATCTGCTTTTATACAAGCCAAGTTTATTTGAAATATGCGATTCATACAGTGAAGGCTGAGATTACTTTCTAGATTTAATAGACAAGGCTAGGCGAGAAACTACTATACAGAGGCGCAATAAGGACTGAAAGTTGACTCTAGGTTGTTGGTACTGGTTAACGCGTCATTGGTTTGGCACGGCGCCAAGGTCACACAAGACAGTATTCTAATTGGCGATTTAGTCACGTGATATATGACGAAACTTAGGACATAACAATCAGGTAACTAGATTGCCATGTTCATGTGTTCCGTTCAACATAAGCTTTTAGTTGACTCATTAACTACTGTTATACAATTCACTATTCCTAAATTGTTGCCCATCTGAAATTTAGTCTCCTCTATTCACAAACCCTTTGGTTTGTTCATAAAAAATTGTTATTATTGTTTTACGATGTCATGCGGTGTGGTATTTGTACATATAAGCCACATTTATATGGAAGATAAACATACAGTAGAGGCTGGTTGATGACTTTTGGACTCGAGGGAGGGTATAGAGTGAAGCTCGCAAAGTACGGGCCAATGAGAACTTAACTGTGTTGGTTCAAGGTCAACAGCGCTAGTCGCGCATGTAACTGGCCAAGTCGAAGATATTAGGGTATAGAGGAAACAATTGATAAATTAGAAGTAGGATTTTCAGTTAGCATGTGATATTGATCAAGGGGTCAAAAGAAACAACAATAAGGCATTTATAACTCATGACATAGCTATTCAATCTGAAACATTTCAGGAAAAAGATTCAAGTCAACTAAGATACATGTCCCTATCTGGGTCAACGCGACTACCTATAATTACTCATAAGTTATATCAGTATTCCACTTTGATAATACACCTTCCTGCGTATTCTTTAGTAATAGTAGGTAAACTGTATTGCAGACCATAAGATAAGTGACATAAACGTAAATATCAATAACAAAATAACGTATAAACTAACAGTTAGTCAATATTTTGAGTGAGAGATCACAACAGAAGTTGAAAAACCAATTCCTACACTTCTCACACTAAACAAGTGGAGACTTTTCCAATGGCAAGCTTCAAATAACCACATTAAAACATGTACAAGTATACATCAAGTAGTAATTAAGAATCCATACATAAATATTCATTTCAAATCATAAAAATAAGGTAATAACAATAGAAATGATAATAATAATAATACCTCTATAACTCACCTAGATCTTTTATCTCCAGACTGTTGTTCTGACAATTCTTGACTGGCTGTCAACATTTCAGTTTGTTGTGCTATAATTTCACGTAATACCTGAGAAAGAGAGATCAAGGGAAAGAATAACTAGTGTTGACCGAAATTTACAAAAACAAATCAAACTACTCATATGTATTGAAAGTAGTATACATTTACAATACATACTAGTAAGTTCTCTAGTTTACTGACTTTTAAAGGTTTAAGTATTTATAAATAGTTGTCTACGCAAGATACTTAATACCCATTGGCCGGATATCATCAGCAACAGCCTTCTGTGGAAGAGGACAAACCATTTTCCAATTGAAGAGGAAATTAGGAAAAGACGTTGGTAGTGAATAGGACATACATTATGGAAATCATCACACTGTATCAAGAGGCAAGTCCTAACTTGGAATCTTGAAGGGAAGAGGAAAAGAGGAAGACCAAAGAACAAGTTACGTCGGGGACTGGAAGCAAACATGAAAAAGATATATAACAACTGGAAAGAACTGGACATGATTGGATTGAGAGGGATGGTGTTGAGTCTATGCTTTTCCATGAGGAGTAACAGGCATAAGTATTTTTAACTTAATTTTCCGTATGATCTTCGCTTTTTTTTCTCATTGATTGCCATTCCTTTCAGTTTGTCGAATTTCTGTATGCTTGTAGGTCATGTTTTGATTATTACATATACAGGTTAGTATTGATTCGCTTTGTCTTGTTTGTTTTACTTCGAATATTAAGTTTCTCTACGATCCGTCTTATCCCTAGATTAGTTGTCAACTGTTGTGTCCCAGCAGAACTGCTTACATTATAGTAGCTTAGTCACTCCTGATTCCGTTAGGATTGTAGGCCGATAATGAGCCCCAAATATCAGGATTTAAAAGACACTGATATTCATATGGAGGGGTAATGACTTAATTGATTGAATTGAAATGAACATATGAAATTGATCGTTTGTGATACATAATCACATCTTAAGGAGAAGTAATTATATGACTTAGTCAATCAGTTATATGTGTTGGTTGTAAGATACCTAATTGTATGATATCGTCAATATGTGATCCACACAGTAAATTACTGATTAGTTAGTGTGAAGTACTACTTAGTTTGACCTATACAAATCTGACGGTCAATCTAACTGTAAATGAATCTTATAAGAAGTGGTGTGTTTCTACATCATTCTGGTTTATTCCTGAAGTCAAGTGAGTCTTTATCTAAAGTTGTCCGGTTATTTTTTTTACTTGCATCGTCCGATTCTCAGGTTTCCTAGTATCAAGTCGGATAAGCATTTCCGAAGACACAACAGATATATACGTTTACTATCTACATGCCCAACTGTTAAGAAGAGATTAGATTATTTGGTTTTTTTGTTACTAAAAGAAACTTGCTACTATCCAATTGAGTGTCATCATTTATAACTTGTTACGTATCCGACGGTCACTGGATTGCATTATATAAACAGAGTTGTTTCATTTCAGTTTTTCAACTTCTACTAAGAATACAAAGCTATTTTAAAAGTACCATCTTCTTATTGGCGGTCAGAACAAAACATGGCACAAGTCCATGAAGTCACTGACAAGTAGACTGAGTCATATTGGCAGGTGTAGACTACCTGGTTGGGGACCGCGAGATGATAGAAACCGATGGTTAGAGACCCTGAATAACATGGCTCAAAATCTTTTGCAATGACGCAGGTTCATCCACTCTTTGTGTTCTCCCAAATTATAATCTTCTGAATTCTTCATGTCCCTTTCTTTTTTCTCTTTCCAAATTTATTCCACTGTATTATACTCCTTGTACAACATCTTCAAACCCTAATTTACCCGATTACTGCTGATAATTTTACTACATCTATCACTACGGGATTTGAATCGACCACTGCATCTCTGTGCTAATGTGGTGTGGCAACTCGAAGTGATGTACGTACGTACGAAGTTCTGCGTTGTTACTGACTGACTGACTGATTGGCATGTGGATTAATAATATTGAAGTGTTGTTGTGTGTCAGTTGTCGTCCTATCAAGTTCAATGGTTCTGTATTTAGCAATTATTGTAGACCATTGACGAACCCAATCTCAAGATATAACATCACCAAGCTACTTGAATGAGAAAACCAAAAACAGAGTAAGAAGCTTTTATTAGCAAACTGAGTTAACTATATGAACAACTCATTTATAAATATAGACACATGTCCCTCTGAAGATTAAGTCAAATCTTGACCAACAGCATGCATTCATCAGCAATCTCTTACTTATCAATTGGTCTTGAATTAATATATCTGATTAGGTCAGCATATCAAGAATATATATTTGTTATTCATTGTTTCTCTTTGGATTTCGAGTTTCAGTATTACACCACCGATTCACAGTTCACAATTCACTCCCTATTTTCTGACCTTTTCACTATTATAGCTAATGCTTTAATGTCAATGACTTTTATATAGTCAATGTCTTTGTCCTATTGTGATTTGAAGTAACGAAAGCTTGGACTAATACGAGTTTGTGACAAGTTGTATAGATGCTTACCATTTACTGTGTAAACGTGCATCACGTACTATCTATCAAATGATGAACTCATGAAATCATTGTCGAGTTTGTTATATTAATTACCATGATTATTTATTTATTTAAACGCATAAATATTGATTTGTGTGAGGGCTGGAATACTGTCCGGGCACCCAAACCAAAGCACACGGTTATATTAGCGAACCACCATTCGAGCTTTTGACCTACAGTTCTAATCCACAAGGCAGTGGAGAAACGTCAGGAGATGCAGTCCCATGGCAGCCGAGTTATCAACAATACACCATTTGTTCCCTCAGGATCCTGGAGCCCATGTGCACCATCGGTTTTTAATCAGGGTTTTCCAACTGCCTAGGGCAGACTCTCCGTATCCATTAACCCGGTTAAGGCACCAGAAATTCGCTTTTTGTTATCCCAGTTTCGTAGAGAACACACTTTTCTTGAGAAGACAGTGAATAGGACTTCCCTGATAGTGGTTGTATACACGTGTCCATATGAAAGCAATTGGAGAGGGTGAGCGAACTTTCCTCACCCTCAATCGTACCAGGGCATTTGGTGGTACCTTGAATTCATTTACACTGAAGATAATTGTTAGAATGCTATTAAGAGTTTTCAATCAAGACAGGTAGAACAACTCAAGAAACATTTCCATCAGCATATATATATATATATATATATATATATATATATATATATATATATATATATATATATATATATATATATATATATATATATATATATATATATATATATATATATATAATTAACAATTCACATACTTCAGTATAAGATTTTCTTGCAGTATGTATTCCTCTATAGCTTTGACGACGTCGTTTTGCATCTCTCATCATAGATAAAACTTCTAATTTAGATACATCTTGTGATGAATTATTAGCTATAAGTTATTGAAAAAGAAACAATATTACAATCAAGAAACAAATAACTAGTAAGCCAATTATGTTTATCTGTAAATGTTTACCAACACTCTTACTTTGACAGCATACGCCATAAAGTATCAGTTCCCTCAGAATTATAGGTACACCATACTAATGGATATCAGATAGTATGAAACCTAAGCCAAGAAAGGGGTTTCCTGTCGACTACATTCAACCATCAACTAACATTCCTTTTTATCACCATATGCTTCTCTAAATCATAAACGGATAAGTAAAATACACAAAGAACCGTTGTGGTACTTCTTGAGTAATATGATACACTATAGATTGCGAAGATTTTATGGTGTAAAAATTGGCACTTAGCAGACAACTCTTGGGTTAAAACAAATTATAAACAAAGAAAAGTTGTGTTAATGAATGCACGTCTGCCAAAAATAAGTGGCCAGGAAGCTTGTGTAGATAGCCAACTAATAAATTGAATTATTGTCCCCAAAAACTATATTATAATTTGTCATTATTTTGTAGGAGTCTAAGATACCTAGTTCTCAGGAATTTGGTGGTTGGAGCAGTGTTTGAATGTGTAATTCATTGTTTGAAAACTTATAACCACGGTTGAATGATTGTCACCACTGTGGAGATTGTTGAGTTTCGTCAAGATCATGAAATGAGGGGCGGCCTGTTTGAGCATCTGGGCTACCTGTTCCTGCCATTTAGATATTTCAACAAGTTATCCATTTTTGTTTGTTCTAATATATCATTATGTCTATTAATCGCACAACCTATTCTGCTGTGTTTCTGAAAAGTGTACAACCTTTCGTTGTCAAAGTTATAAAAAGCTCAAAAAGAGAGAATATTGTTGCTGGCAATATACAACGAAAAGAATGTACATTATTCAGATGTTCATTTACTGGACTGTTAACATCTAGCTGGCGATCACTCAGTATTTATCGCGAGGACCGACCAAGAAGAAAGAAACGGAAACTTGTTGAAATACTTTGTGCTGAGAATTCTATATTGTACCAATAATATAATATTGAATAAAGCTAATAATAATTAAAAAAAAAAAGATCATGAGATGATCAATGTTAGACCACCAATGAAATTCTGGAAGAATTGGATATCCAATGAGTACTAACATGGGACTTCTCAACAGTGCATCCACAACCCTGCACTCAGAAATCGTATCCAGGAACTTTGGTCTCGTGCATTGAACGCTTAACATCTAGACCACTGAGTGGGGATCCAACTGTATTAATACCTAACTTTAATCAGTTCATACTAGAACGAAAAGGTCGTTCAGTGCTTTCAGGTTTTCAATAGTGGTTTCATATTGATCGGTTTAGGATTCTAATATTCCATAGACAAAAGTAAACAGTATCAGAGTTCTAACTACTTGTTGTATAATTAACACTTAACAAACTACAGACATTCGCCATACTTTTTATGAAATAATCCAACTTCACCTGAAGCTTTCTAGGCGTTACTGCAGATATCAAGCCTGCATAAAAAAGGGCTTAATTAAGTGATTATGAAATAACCTATACAGAACTAAGGAATACTTCAATTTAGAGAGATTATTGTAGCTAATAGGTTGATATTCGATTACGTGATGGGCTTCGAGTCACATTTTTCATTAGGTAAAAGGTTGATGATACATATCGGTTGGGCACAAACAAAACAACGTGACGTAACATATTGGAGTTGTTGTATTCTGTAAAGTATGTTGTATCATGTTTCCTAAGGTACGTGAATTTTAATAATGATCGTTTTCAATATTGAATTAATTTCTATAAATCATATAAGTCAATCACGTATCTTAAATTGCTCGAATGTACAAAATAGAGAACAACAACATTAAAATTCTTCAAGTTAACTTTGAACATACTCATTTTGAGTTAAGTAGTATAATTATTGTTAACCATAAATAATAATCCGCCTTACATGACCGATGAGATTTATCTGTGGAAAATGCCTGCATATTCATAATCCAAGATGGATCATTTGTCCAATCAGATGTAGGTTGAGAACATTCAGCCGTACATATACTAGAATTGGGTATCATGACATCCTGTAGGAAAAAAAAAGTTTTGAAAATATAGGCAGGTGATCGTTAATAAGTGACAATTACCTATAATAACTTTTCCTCTCTATCTCTACCTTATTGTCAAGACTAGAAACATAGGAAAACTAAAAGGTGTATGGTAATCACTGTTCCTGAAGTAAAAGTCACATAATATAGTATGAACAAGTAAGTTATGTACGATTGCTGAGACGGTTATAAAATTGATTTACAAGTAAACGTATTAACTATCCCTTAACATGATATACTGGCTGTGTTTACACATTTTAGTTTCAAAAGCCTCATACTCTTTGTGTTTTGTCAAAAATCGTAAGGTTGCTCTCTGAAATCAGTCTATGCACGTGATGTTTAATGTGGTTATTTCCGAAACTATGTGTTGGTTAGACTTGTTGCTTTTAAAGTTGACACCTTGATACAAACCGGACAATTATCAGGTGAAACTGACCCCAAGAAAACAGGCAGCTGGTGTTTACTGTACTTTAGAGGACCACGTGAAATGTCCTAGAGAATTAAAGAAAATTCGTCTTCAGATGTGAGTAGAAACATACGTTCCGTATCAACTTATCCGAATACTCTGCTTTATTAAGGTGTTTTAGATAACAGAGCCAACATAGGTTCCTTTTTTTGCTGGTCTAAAAGGTTTAATCAGAGTAAAAATAAACTATATTGATAAGTGATATAGTTTGGTTATCTCCATTTAAATTCCATCTGATTTTAACCGGGATATACTAGATTATAAGTTGTTACTAATTGAATTACTACAATGGAGTTTGTTCGACAGATACTGTGATATAGAAAGGCGTAGTCAGTCCACGATATGGAGTTGCTAAGTGAGTATTTGTACCGGTTAACGGCTACCGGGCTATCATAAATGCTCCAATAGTTTGAAAGTTTGTCAGGTTGAAGTTAATGGAAATTGTAATTGGGTATTCTGAGTAAGTAATCAATAAAATTTTTTTCCAGGAATAAAACCAACCATGGCGGTTTGAAATGGATACTTTGATACAGAATATTCATGATTTTCGTCCATCTATTTACATGGTTGTTCATTATCTATTGTTTAATTTTTCGCAAAACTGTCACTTAGTCTTGTACGGAGTGTTCCTCGGTGCCTGATTGTACCAAATATTTATGTTACAAACAAATACAAGTTTCAGTTCGGGAAAATTACCATCCATTAGAGACGAGGCATGTGCCCCCGAATTCCCTGTTTCGGTTGAGGGTGGGAAGAATAAGCTCTTACTCTTGAAATGCTCTCACATGGCCACGCATGTACAGCTACTGTCAGGAAAGTCCTACTCACTCCTTGTACCGATGTTTATGTGTTTAAATAAATAAATAATAGATAAATTAAAGGTGTTGACAACTGGTTCTTGTAAGAGCTAAGTTATAAACGCGTGGTAACAAGACTGTAAATACATTTTGTTAGTGAGTGCAGAAAAGCATAACAATTTACGTCCTAGATTTTTCCTCTTGGCTTCTAACATATAAATGTGAACAAAAGGCACTTACTATCTCTTCCTTAACGAAACCTTGTTGACGTAATGAGCAATAATTATTGTGTGTTGTGAGAGACTTTACAGGAACCCAATGATTCCGTGAGTAGGAGCATCTCCCATATTCGACCGGCTAAACATAAAAGAAACCATGTAAAATTCATTTGGATTGGTCGTTCAAATACGACAAACTAGTATATAGTTTATTTATTCTGAGAACAGGCTACTGATGTTTTGCGAAAATAAGCACAATTGGATACCAATAATCCTACAGTAGCTATTTCGTTTATTAACTCCTTTATTTCTGAACTGGATATTTTTCAAGGCTTTAAGTCATATTTAAACCTTAAACATGTTATTATCCTTTAAGACGGTAAAGAAGATATTGTTAGAAACTTGAGTTTCCTATACAGCACTGTGAAATACTCATAATCCAAATCATTGAATGTATTGCTAAGCCTGGTTGTGTATTTATCGAAACTTCGCGCAAACACTTATTTTTAAGCAGACCTTGATGATACAGTCCGAAATTCAAGATGGTGAAAATTATTTTTGCTTTATTGTACGAGCAGGAGGGATAATTACAAGCTATGTATCTCAATAACTTGCATGTAAAGTCATACAACACACTTAACGCTGGATCTGTAGCGATGCGGATTGTAAGCTGGGAGTGACGTGTCAGTAAATTTCATTTTAAGAAAAGAATTATGTCCTAGACACTTTTTCCCATTCAGTCAAAACCAACTAGGAAGACTTGGGTTAGATCTATTCTGAAGATCTTTGCAAGTGGTACATACCAAACACGGAACGCTGGAAAATTTTTCATCTAAAATGCTAGCTCAGTCATTAAGGTTATTATATTTGAAAAGAGAAAGCACTGAGTATAGCAACAAAAAAGCTAAACACCAAATTAGAATAGAAGCGAGAAAACAAAAAAGATATATTTAAAATCTATAACGGAACTAGTGGATAGGTTTGTACTACTTTGTTTAATTCTAAGTAATGATATTTCACCTTGAAATGCTAAATTTATTTATATTATAAAGGATTTGACAGTCCCTTACATCGATAGAAGGAGGGACTAAATGCTTTCATAATAAATACTGTTTTTTAACACATGTTGCCATTCTCACTTGCATTTTTCTATAGTAAGCGCTACTTTATGAGGTAATTTCTAGATTTCAGACGCACAAAAAATGGTCAGTCTACCTCCAATGATGTAAGTTTAAATTTATATCCGTTATTTGTTCTTCCAACTAACTGAAGTTAACGATTTTGACAAATTTTATGGGAAGTTGATATGAACAAATTTAAGGAGAAACCCACTGAACTGTACTCTTAAATATGTGCTTTTCACAAAAGGAGGAAGTTACATTTGAAATCTTCAGAATAAATGATAATGAATACTAATATTGTGTATATGTACAGGTAACTTGGAATGAGTACTCACATGCGAAAGAAACTCATGAGTCCATCCGAAATCTGCGACAAGCTCATTTAGTATTTCTTGTGACTCATCAACCAGCATATTCAAGACACACAACGAACTACGATCATTTTGTCCAAGGCCATCAGTTAATATGAGCGCTAATTTGTCTTTACAGATTAGCTCGCATAAACCTATTGATTTCTTTGAACTTGGTTCTTGATGTTACGGTACGTTTCTAGATCTTTGCTATCCTCTGATTTTCGTGGTTTAGCTACTTAGCTACACTGATACTGATGAACTGTGAGTTAGTATTTCTCGATTAAATGGTTCAAATGGTTAAAATGGCTGTGGACGGAATAGAAGAAGCTTCCGCTTAACGAGCTTCCGTGTCTAGTAGCAGGGGATCACTAAATCCTGCAGGCAGGAAACTAGGTATGTTAACAATAGAAGAGGAAAAGAAATTGGTATTTCTCGATTATGAACTAGTGTATTCATCCTAGGTCATTTGAATTGCTAGGACCAGCAATTACCACATTACAAGGTTGGAGTTTGGTTTGTTTCAGAATGGGACATTCCAAAAATATGAAGCTGGGGATAGAAAACAAGATAACTGTCCGGATAAGTAAGTTGAAGCGCGCTGATGATGTTCAAATACTGACTGGTTAACTTTTCAGAGTCTCTGTCCAGCATCACGCACTGACACATCACGAAGGGCACAGGTTAAAAGCTAGCTTGAAGTTGAAGTTATATCCTTTTCGTTTCAGCGACCTTCGCTGACTTGCATTAGGATGGTTACTTCATATTTGAACACTGGATGACAAATAGCTGTGTGCATCAATCAGTTTTGTTGACCACTCAGTTAAAGAAAACCTTCGTGTTGCGATTTTCAATTGTTGACCTGTAGCAAGTAGTGGGTGAGTTGTATATTTCATCCTTTTGTGAATACCCTGGTTTTCACCCCGTGTATTTAATAGTGATACTGCGTCAAGTACTTCTGAGAATATTTTGATCGACCCAACCGATACATTTCGCCAGATAATCCTATCACAGGGTTTCTCGACATAGGGTGAATTCGAAAGTGGTTTACAAGTTTTTCAGTGTGTAAAAACAGCATAATTCCTTCTGTGGCAGATAACGTTTACAAACTACATCTACTCACAAAGCAAAAAGATCTCTATTGGGCAATGTAAGTATCTGTTTGTTGCCCATAAGTGCGCGTTGGGTGTGAAAAGAAAACCTCAAGAAATTGGTATACTTAATAAAACGTAAGTCTCTCGAATTACGTCCGTTGGTGCGGTACTAAACTTCATGGCTGTGATCACATATTTCGAGTGGAATCATATGGTCTAGAGATTACCATAAGGTCTGCCAATGAGCCTGACGTATAGACAAGTCAACATAGTGCTCTGCTTGTTCTATGTTTGCCAGGCATTTCGTAAGAATATCAGTTTTTAATTTCATATGTAGTCTAACAGTTGCACATAGTTGCGAGACTCCTAAATAAAATATTATTTGTGCAGATTAACGCAAACTGAGCATATTGCACGGTAAGCTATAAATTATTCTCAACGTACAGCTTTAACCACTATTTACGTGTCATATCGCGTGTAGCACCAGATGTCCGAAAGTATCTCACAAGATACTGCTCAATCCGTATAGAAATGACGTTAACTACATACAACCCTCATGCTTTAACATATAGCGATTCTACAAACAACGGAGTAGAATTGTAGAATTATGCATCGGACCATAACCACACAATCTTCAAAGCTGTGAACACGAGACTACTTAGAAAATAGATATTCAATATTTAACGCGGAGAAATACCTAACGATGGAAAAGGCGGGAACAGGAATTCAATGCATTGGAGTTGATCGAATGACATGGCTCGGCCATGCAGGCGTGGTCTCTGCTGGATGTTACCTCATATCTTCTATTCATATTAAATATATTGTTCTTTCTCTAGCCTAACCTTGTTCTACATCATGTATTGGTAATTGATGCGATACAGTGAGTTGGTGTAGTCTATGGTGTGACTTCCACGTAAGATCTTTTAGATTAGGCAGTTATATCATGACGAATCTACAATTTTGGGATTAGGTCTATTATTAGAGCAGTACTAATATAATGGTAGACCATAATTCTACACCACTACAGAATCTCAACATCGTCAGCTGAAAATGTACCTCAAGAAGCATGACCCATCGCCTACATCAGCGACGAAGTCTTATCAGTGGAATTTTCAGAAACTTGAATGGAAGGAAAGAAAGGGACTAATTTAGCCGTTAGAAACTATGCAGTAAATGTTTTCCCCGAATAACGTGGTGTGTTTAGAAATCTGAAAAAGTTTGCTGCTAACAAGGTCTTACTTCAACTTAAGAAGATGAACTACCTGCTTGCAGAATATGAGACGTAGAATTATATGCTTGTTGCTTATATACCATTGAATTTTAGAGTTAATTTACTTGTAAGAGGTCCCGAACATGCCGCTACCCATGTCAACACATGTCGCTTGCTTTTTAGAAATACCAGACTTTTGCGAGCAGGTGCTGCACTTACTGGAGCTTCATATTATTAGCAACTATATTGAGACATTGTTGACGATGGGGATTGGGAGCGGTTTTGAATGCATCAACAATAAGTACGGTTGCTTTCCCAAGACTGTAGAGGAAAGTTTGCATAGTATGCAATCTTTCGAAATGAATATTAAAGAAATTTCGCGAAGATTTGGAGATAATATAGTAGCTGAGGTAACACGAGGGGTGAAACACCATTTAAAAATCTCAACACATGTGTAATGAGCTCGATTTCCTGTAATCTATCGCAACTGCGATGCTATTCAGCTACCGATTAAAAGAACATACTTGTACTGGCAATTTCTATTTCATATAAAAGGTGTATCTGTTTTAATTAGCTGGATACTCAGATAAATGTCATGGAAGCTTAACTATATCATCATATTTTACAATGTGTTTAAGTCGAATATACTTTAGGCATTAGCTGTGTTTCAATGAACTATTCAGACGTCCCCAATTGTTGTTTTGCTTAATATGGCTAGAAGGAAAACTGGTATTATTGACGAGTATCAGTGCGTATGACAGTTTTATGTCCACTTGGATACTTTGTTAATCTGAGGATCTAAATACGTAACGCTGTTCTTCTCACCACCTAGATTGTTACTGCTTACGGTCGGCCAGTAACAGTCTGTTGAATTCTTCAGTGGATAGGTATATGCAAAATCTCATTTGAGGGGGAGATTATAGATCTTAGGAATAGCACTGAAGTCGCTGTAATCTTCGAAATAGAAGAGCAATTACCAATTAATGAACATCGGCTTACTATATTTTGATTAACTTCCATTAAGCAAAAGGAATAGAAACAATAACGCTAACATATCGATCTTTCTAAAGGTGATAACTTATCACACTTTCAAAAAACTACCTTTCATGGATTACGAACTAACCTATCGCATAGTTAGACAATCCGTGTAGAAGTAGATGTTACTGCTTTGCTCCAGTCTACTGCATTTATTTCACTATCATACGATTGCTGGATATTCTCAGTGTTATTTCCATCCTGAAGATTTTTAATCCCAACGTCAGCGTTCAGTAAAATCTGGAAAGCAAACATATTGAGCATGTCAAGTCACCCGAACACGAGCACCCTACCAGTACATTACTACCACAGCCTACGAGGTGACCTCCGAAAAACTGCACATCAGAGGAAACAATCCAGTAAGACCCCAATTTTTTCCATTAAGAGTTGTGTCCACTTATGATGCTATTACAACCGAAGTGACCATGGCTCCTTCAGTGGGTTACTTTAAAAGAAGACTTGGAAAACTTGTACTTACCAATGGATTGCCATATCGGTCTTGGACCAGTGGTGCCTGATGGATGTCCTATAGTTTACCTGATTTTGTTATTTTCACGTGTCATTAACTGCTTTCTATCTCACTTGTTGTCATTTTCACTACTCCCCTTTATTCTTACACTTTGGTTTTCTCTCGCTGTCTGCATGACCAAATAATTAACTAATTTATTTCTTGTAACAATTATTTTTTCTTAGCACCCAAGTTTTCACCTTATTACTTGTCACACCAGTACAGAACAAACCGCCTGCTCAGTAATAAAATAGCCACTTGTATCCAGGATCTCTAGTGCTCTTAAGCAAACGTACTCACTAGAATTACGAGATATACAAATTCACAAATAGCTATTAAACTGATTGGAGTTAGTGCGGTCGAGTTAATATATATCACCCATTAGACGCAACCAAATATTTGTAACCTTACGGAAACAATAAGAAGAGTACTTAAAAAATTCGATCGGTATACACAAGGCATTGGATATATTGAATGTTGAGCACGTAGCGCTACATATAAAATTATTCACCAGACGGTATTAGTTATCGACCCAACAGTGACTAGGACGTAAGTGCTTCTGTTCATAATAATAAAATAAACGAATAAAATTTTTTTCCATACTATAATCTGAATGTAGTAAGTAATGGTGCTCAAAATCAAAGGTCTTTCTTTATAATAGCTCAATAATTTTGTTTAAAATTGTTGGTTCTGCACATAGTTCATACAAATTCTCGATAATCGATGTTTTATCTTCTGAATAGCACATATTTCAACAAACTTTCTGTCTATCAAGATCACTTATGTTAACTATTTGAAACACTAGAATTATTAACTTCGCAGTAAATACGCTACTCAAAATGTAAATGTGTTTGAGTTTTTTACAACTGTCGGTTTTTTCTGTCTTTCACTTGTGATTGTAGGCTATAACCAAGCCTTTAAAAACAAAATGTTTAAAATCATTAGATTTCGAAATTGATTTGCGTCGTTCTCGGTGTTATCACAAGAACATTCATATCCAGCTATTAGCTGATCCAAAGCATAAGTGTGGGTGGCTCTTCGAACTTTCCGAGATAGCTTTAGTACGTTTTGAGTGTAAATTTCTAAAATGGGCGATTTCTACCAAATTTGCATGGTTTTAAATTATTCAGATAGTTTAAACTTACATAATTTGGTCAGTCTATATGTATTCGTCATCTAATGGCTTTATAAAAGTTCTTTATGAACCAACTAGCCT